TTGAGACATCTCAAAGCGCTTCGCAGAACAGACTGGAAGGTGGAGTAACTGTCTATTTTGTGGGCGAAACGTGGCAACCAGTTGCGCATAGCAGTGTCCTACAAACAGTCGTGGATTGAGTGATCAATTTTTTTTAGGAGGGATTATCACCCCTGGAAAGCGACTGTTTACCTACTGCTAGTTAAACAGAGGCGTGTGGGGTAGGGAAACAACAACAACAACAACTTGCACTTATATCGTCATAGGGTAGAGTCTCAAAGCGCTTAACAGTGGTGGAGCCTGACGCCTAAGGTTTCACCCCAGCCGGGAATCATTCCTGGGTTACACAGCACCCTCCATGTCAGGAGGACGTCTCAAACACTTTGCACTCCTGGTTGGGATCCCAAGCTGACGGGGAAGACCGGGGATGTGTAGGACTTTGCTCTAATATTAACAAGACTCACAAAAGTCTGGCCCCACGGTATTGGGATAACAGTCATTACATTTGATACACGTCAGAAAGACCTCTCAAAGGGCTTCACAGGATTTACTATCAAGTGAAGTGACTGTGCTCAGCTGACAAGCAAGCCCATGGATCCCAACCAAACTCATCGCAACAGTCCACAGAGGAATAAAAGCATTGAGGAGCTTAAAAGAGAACCTTAAAATAGATCCATTGATTGGCCTTTTTAAGGCGCTGGCAAGCCGTTTTATCTTGGTTAAACATCTGACCTTTTTACAGCAACCAGACACTGTCTTGCAATCTGCTTTAACCTTTCAACAACACTGCACAAATTGAATAAATAAAAGATATATAAATAGACAGTTAAATAAAGCTTTACATATAGAACAATAATCTCTGCATTTGATATAACGCCTTATCACGTCTCCGAAATGTCTCAAAGCGCTTCACAGAATATACTTTAAAGTGAATTGACTGTATTTTATGGATCAAACACAGCAGCCAATTGCGCACAGCAGCGTCCCACAAACAGTCGTGGATTGAGTGACCAAATTATTATTATTTTTATTTATTATTTGGATGAAATTATTACCTCTGAAAAAGCGATCCACTAATCAACTAACAACCGGGTTCCTACTTATTTCTAGGTAAACAGAAGCATTTGGAGTAAGGAAACTTGCCCAATGTTTCGCTCTGCTCGGGATTCAAACGCTTGCAAGGAGAGAGATCTAACCACTGAGCCGCAGGACTCAATGGAATAAACAGAAAAATAAATAAAGCTTTACATCTCCACCGTTGCTATAAAACAGGTCAGGCTTGGCAAGCCAGAAAAAATGGTTCCAAATCACTTGTATCAGATAATTAAGAACATAAGAGTGTTTTGGACAAAATAAGACCAAGGACAATCTAGTTTGCCTTTCACCATCCTGGCAGTCGCCTGCACATGTTGTGTCCCAAATTATATATACTGTATCCCCAGATATTATTTCCTAACAGAAATCTATCTAATTTGTTCCTAAAAGATTCACAATCATAATAATCCTTGCATTGCACATCCTTCAGCTCCTCTCATTCAGAGGATGTCTCAAAGAGCTTCACTTGATACATCAGTAGGTAAAGTGGAGTGACTGTGTATTTTGTAGCTGAACGTCACAGCCAATTTGTGCGCAGCAAATGTCCCACAAACAGCCGTGAAGAGAATGAGCAATTTGATTTGGAGGAATTGCTGGTCAGGGCCCTGGGCGAGACAAACTCCCTTCTCTTCTCCAAAGGTGTCACAGGATCTGTAATGTCCACCTGAGCCGGCGCTGGGCGTGTGCCAGAGGAGACAACAACAACAACAACAAATTACATTTACACAGCGCCATTCACGTCGGGAGGACGTCCCAAGACGCACAGTCAGGGATTTAGACCCGAGCAGGGGGTTGGATCAGGAGGGGTGGAGGGCAGGGAGGGTGAGGGTAGGTAGTTGATCAAAGACCCAATCGAAGAGGAGGGTCTTGAGACGTGCCTTGAAGGAGGCAAGGGGACACGGAGAGGTCTCTGTAAAAGCAGGAAGAGGAGAAATACCCCTTTAAAGCAATAAAAGGCATCTCCTCCTAGGAGGGAAAGCTAGGCACAGCCTGTGGTTTCTTATTAATCATCTCCCCTGGTTCCCATATCTATCTGCTTAATTCCATGCATGGCTTTGAACGCTTGAATCACGTTTGTTTTTATCAGTCGGAACAGACTGATCCCCTTCTCTTTCTTTCTCTCTCTCTCTCTCTCTCTCGCTCGCTCGCTGTTCAGAACTCGCTGATCCTTTGCATCCTTCCAAGTTCTCCTCAGAGCCTGACACGTTGTCATCTTCTTGCTCCGCAATTAACCCTGTGTCTCCTTTCCTCCGCTTCCCCTTTCTCTGACTGCTGCCTCGCGCACACGAAGCGATGCCGAGGGCACTCCAGCAGAGGGCAGCAAGTCCCCACCTTCCAGCGTCACCACTCGCCGAGGACTCTGTCACGAGAGAGAGAGAGAGCGAGATGACAGGAGTTCTCCCGAGCAGCTCACTGTTACAGCAAAGCATCTCAAATCAATCACGTTTCTGGGCAAACACAGCGGCTTATTTTGTATGCGGCAACGTCCCGCAAGCAGCCCTGGAGCGAGTGACGAATTTTATTTGGGGGATATGTCGACTAAGACCCGGGGAGAGAGAAACTCCCTTCTCTTTTCCAACAGCGTCATTGGAGGGGGGAGATCTTTAAACATCCGCCTGAAGAAACAGATGGAAGTTCGGTCCAACATCTCATCTGAAAGATGCCACATCTGGCAACTCCATTCCTCCCCCCTCCCCACTACACAGTACAATAATAATAATAATAATAAAAATAATCATAATAATAATAATAATCCTTTCATTTGATCTAACGCCTTATCATGCCTCCGAAACGCCTCAAAGCGCTTCACCGAATATACTGTATATTTTGTGGGCGAAACACGGCAGCCAATTGCGCACCACAGTGTCCCAAAAACAGAGATGGATTGAGTCGCCGCATTTTGTTTTACCCCCGGAAAGCAATCCGCCAATCGACTAACATCCGGGTTCCCGCTTACTGCTGGTTAAACAGAGGCGTGTGTGTGCCTGTGGAGTAAGGAAACTTACCCAACGTTTCGCCCTGCCCGGCAATCGAACCCCAGATTGTGAGCTCTCGCCTCGATGCCCGGTTCCACGCTCTCTGCTTGGGCTACATACGCACAGCAAGGAATTCTCTACCGCCTGCTTTATTGATTAGTGCGTTGCCAGCTACGTGTGGGGGAGCGAGGAGGGTTTGGAGAAGGAAGGAGTTGATACAGTTTTCCCACGCTACCCCTCCCACCCACCGCACCTCACTGCACCCGCTATGGCGCAATGTGACGATAAACAGGGAAACACTGCAGTAAACTGGAAGCTTCCTTTCCACGCCCTGGCAGCCAGTCTGCGACAGATGGTTCACCCGCTCACTCACTTCCCGTCTAATGGATAACCACACAAATCCAGTCCATTTATTTATTCGCAGGAATAAGGGACCGACCGAAATCCTTCCTGCAATTAATCAAAGAGAAAGCCACGATCACTGCATTCACCCAGCCAGGGTGAAGCCAAGGGTGAACTCACACCAATACCAACACACACAGGATTCATCACCTGTCTCAGCACGGAGATCCTCTGCCACGCACATCTGGCCCCAGGCCTACAGAACTCTATCCCGGAGTCCCTTTGCCTGACCTCCCCCCCCCCACCCACCACCCTCCTCGTCGCCACCTTCAAGGCCTTCCTTTTCGGCCGCGCTTTTGATCACCCTCCTGCCCCCCCCCCCCCACCACCCCCACCATCCCCGTCCTCTGCCCCCTCCTGTAACCCAACCCCAGCTCAGGTGCAGATCCCTGATTGTCCAGCGTCTTGGGAAGTCCTCCTGACGTGAAAAGCACTGTGCGAATGTGACTTGTTGGTGGTGTTGTTGTTCTTGTCGGCCCTCATATAGCTGTGGTCTTGTCAGTCTGGCTCCCTCCTGCCTCCGGCTCTGAAGGTTGTGAGTTCGAGCCCCATTTCAGAACTTTGGGCACATATTCTAGGCTTTAATTGTATTATCTTTATTCATTATTAGGATCAGACGAGGTGAACATGACTGAGTGCTTTTAAGCTCTCCGAGACACTGTCTGGCGTAAAGGGAATACAAGTTGTTGTTGTTGTTGATTGACAAGTGACTGGCTCAATCTCCCGGCTTTGCTCAGCACACAAAGACCTGGAGCTGCTGACAGAAGTGTTGGATTGATTTGCTGCCTGTAACTCTCTCCCAGACATCAGTGATTCCAGATACATTTGTTTATTGATGGAGAGTGGGATAATCGCCTGATTTCTGCCCTGATTGGGCGGGAAAGCAAAGGAACGTAGGTCCATAGGAACAAGGAAGGAGTGGGCCATTCACCAGCCTAGACCATGTGCCTAGCAAGCCCAACCACCACAACAACAACAGCAACAATTTGTATTTATAGAGCTCGGTTCACGTAGGCAAAAGCCAGCGACCGACGTCCCACAAACAGCCATGGTGTGACTGAACTGAGGGGGATTGTTGTCTGGGGGGATTGTTGGCCAGGGCCAATCTCCGAGAAAGAGAGAGAGAGAGAGAGAGAGAAACTCCTTTCTCTTTTCCAATGGCATCACAGAGTCTGATAACAAATACCCAAATAGGACACAGACGGGACCTCGGGTTAAAGGCTCATTTGAAGGGCGGGACCTTCGACAATACAATGCTCTGCCCACCCCACCCGTCTCACACCCAACACCTCCCCCACAACTGCACAGGAGCGTCAGCCTAGATGATATTAATCTAAAGTGCCAATGTGGAGGCCTGAACCCACAACCGTCTAACTGAGAGGCCAAATTGACTGCTGACTGAGCCAGGCTGACACACGCACTGCCCCACTTGCCCCATTTGGGTGCCCATGAATTTGTACTGCTTGTAGCTGTGCCAGGGAGGTGTGGAGGGAGGAGGGAGGGTTGCCCGCCATGTTCTGACCATGCCGTATGTACCATTTGCTGCAGGTTCCACGTGTAATACGCTCGGAAGGAAACACTTCGCTGCTGACAATGGAGAACGTGACCCTTGAGAACATCACGGCCAGCGGGCACCCCAACTCCACGGTGCAGCTGTGGGACAGCCCCTACAAGGCGGTGGAGGTGGTGTTCATCGCCGTGGTGACGGGCTCCCTCAGCCTGGTCACGGTGGTGGGCAACATCCTGGTAATGCTGTCCATCAAAGTCAACCGCCAACTGCAGACCGTCAACAACTACTTCCTGTTCAGCTTGGCCTGTGCTGACCTCATCATCGGGGTCTTCTCAATGAACCTCTACACGGTCTATATCATTAAGGGCTATTGGCCTCTGGGGCCAGTGGTCTGTGACCTGTGGTTAGCTCTGGACTATGTCGTGAGTAACGCCTCAGTCATGAACCTGCTGATCATCAGCTTCGACCGGTACTTCTGCGTGACCAAGCCCCTCACCTACCCGGCCAGGAGGACCATTAAGATGGCGGGGCTGATGATCGCTGCCGCCTGGGTTCTCTCCTTCATCCTTTGGGCTCCGGCCATCCTCTTCTGGCAGTTCATCGTAGGCGAGCGGGTGGTGAACAGCGGTCAGTGTTACATCCAGTTCCTGACCAACCCCGCGGCCACATTCGGCACGGCCATCGCGGCCTTCTACCTGCCGGTGGTCATCATGACCGTGCTGTACATCCAGGTGTCAGTGGCCAGCCGGAGCCGGGTGAAAAACAACCGTCCCGAGAGCCACAAGGAGAAATCCTCGCGCTCCACCAGCCTCCTCAAGAGCCACTTCATCAAGCAGCAGGAGAACAACAACGCTCCCAAGCCAGCCGCTGAGCAGCCCGGGAACGAGGCCGTGAGGAACGGGAAACTGGAGGAGAAGCCCTCGGCCAAGCCTGCCTGCGCCGGCCAACCCCACGAGGAGAAGGAGACCTCGAACGAGTCCAGCTCGGTCAGCACCGTCCAGTCCAACGTCAGGGAGAGGAACACCAGCGACAGCACGCAGGACGGTCGGCCCAAAGCGCCCAAGACTCTCGGCTCCAAGTGGTCCAAGATCAAGATCGTGACCAAGCAGGCCGGCAACGAGTGCGTGACCGCCATCGAGATCGTGCCCGGCAACACGCCCAACAATGCCGGGGAGAGCAAGCCGGGCATCGTGGCCAGGAAGTTCGCCAACATCGCCAGGAGCCAAGTGCGCAAACGGAGACAAGTGGCCGCCAGGGAGAAAAAAGTCACCCGGACGATCTTCGCCATCCTCCTGGCCTTTATATTGACGTGGACTCCGTATAATGTGATGGTCCTGATCAGCACCTTCTGCAGTGACTGTGTGCCCGAGACTGTCTGGGTCATTGGTTATTGGCTGTGCTACATCAACAGCACCATCAACCCAGCCTGTTACGCCCTTTGCAACGTCACCTTCAAGAAGACTTTCAAACACTTGTTGCTCTGCCAGTACAAGAATATCGGCAGCGCCAGATAGAGTAAAACGCCGTGGGGCTGATGCTTGTTTGACAGTGTGCGATTTTCTAACGGCTCATCGTACGGAATTGATGTGCAACGGTATTTCAAAGGAGACATACCAGGGCTTAACACTGTGCTTGTATTCCAATCCAAGACCCCCCCCCTAACCAACCGTCCACCCCCGCCTCCCCTCAGAGTAAAGCATGTACATACCTTACAAGCAAAAAACGTGATATGATATCTTAACAGCGTAACTCATCACAATATTATTGCGTAGCTGCTCGTGATAGAAACCATCAAAGGCGGAGTATCAGACAACGTGCTTTCCCCATTGTGTTCAGCTTGAGTTCAGTGAGTACCGTCGTGTCACAGTCCTGTCCCGTCAGGACGCAGAAACTTAACCTTGTCGGGGTGAAAAAAAAATCTGTACATTTTTACTGTTTACGAAACGATACCAGAGTAAAATCTAACACCGTCATTCGGGGGGGTTGCAGGATGGCTGGGAGCGAATAGGGCAGGGTTAGCTGTTAGGGTTGCAATCGAGGGGTGACGAAAGCTGTTTATGAACAGCTACGCCATCGTAGAAATGACAGGGATCAAATGCAATCATCATTTTTTTATTATTATTAGTTATTCTCCATTTTTTTTCAATTATTGTTATTGTGGAGTCCCGTAGCGTAGTGGTTAGAGAGCGCTCGCCTCGCAAGCGAGAGGACCTGGGTTCGATTCCCGGCCGGGGCGAAATCTTCGGCAAGTTTCCTTACCCCACGCGCCTCTGTTTACCAGTGGTAAGTAGGAACCCGGTTGTGAGTCGATTGGCAGATCGCTTTCCAGGGGTAATAATCCCTCCAAAAAAAAAAATAATAATTTGGTCACTCAATCCACGACTGTTTGTGGGACGCTGCTGTGCGCAATTGGTCCAGAAACTACACAGTCCACTACGCTTTACAGTTTATCCTGTGAATAGCTTTGAGTCGTCTCAAACGACGTGATGAGGCGCCACAATGATTATTATTCTGATTATTAAGACAAAATTATCCCCAGTTCACCGTCAGCCACCCAGTGGGTTTATAATGTACATTGTGACCTCAATGACGGACCAGTAGTAAAAGCAGACCCTGATATTACACTGACTGAATGCCCATCGCTAATACTCTATATTGGTATCGGAAATCCAACGGGATTCACTGCTCCTGGTCCAGAGTGTCAGCCGGGAGCTCTTCCCGCTCCAAGACGGTGGGAGAGGTCAACTGTCCTGGATGAACTGTAGCTCTCCAACTCTGCTGACAACCGCCCCCACCATTGTATTAACAAACGCTTTGGGCATGTCCTCCCGACGTGAAAGGTGTTGTGCGAGTGTGAATTGCATTGAAACAAATGGTTCCACGCTGGGTTGGGTTGAGTTAATGGAAGCGAACTGACAGCACCACTGAGACCAAGGTGTACGTTATGATGTACTTCCTGTAACCTTTCCAATGATGATAATAACCCATGTAACTTTTATCCTTTAGTAGTATTTACAATATAAATATTTCAAACCTTTCGAACGATGTACTGTGTTTTGTGACAGGCTGTTCCCCCCTGCCCTCTCTCCCTTCCCCCCCCCTCACCCCCAGTTATTCGCTTTCCACATATTGGCTGCTCATTCCTTCTCTACTTAAGGAGTTGGGGTTCCTCTAATGTTCTGGGGGTACCAGGGAACATAGGGACATAGGAGGAGGTAATTCAGCTCCTTCAGCCTGTTCCACTATTCTATTAAATCATGGCTGATCTGTACCTGATTCTCCAATTATCTGGCCTTACCCCATATCCCTTGATACCATGACCTAAAAAATATATCCACCTCAGTCTTGAAAATGTGAATGGATCCACTTTCCACTGCCTTTTGGGGGAGAGAGTTTCAAGTTTTCCACTCCTCTTTGGGTGAAAAACAGCCTCCTGATTTCACTCCTAAATGGCCTGGCTCTAATTTTAAGATGATGCCCCCCTTGTTCTGGATTCCCCCCCCACCAGAGAATATAATTTATCTGTATCTATCCTCTCAAATCCCTTTATTATTTTAAAAACCTCAATGCGATCATCCCTCAACCTTCTAAACTCAAGGGAATACAATCTAAACTGATTGGGTAGTTCTTCCAAAGAGCCAGCACAGGAGCGATGGGCCGAATGGCCTCCTTCTCTCCTGTAATAATCTATGTTTCTAGGTTACCATGAAACTCAAGGGAAGTCCTCCAGTGTCCATGTGTGAGTCTGAAGTGTTGCGGCTCAAAGCCATTGGCCTCATCCAATGTCCACACTCTGGATGTCAGCTTGGCTCAGTCAGTAGCACTCTCGCCTCTTGAGTCAGAGGTTTGTGGGTTGTCCAGCACTGGCCTACACCCTGGGGCTTACAAGTTGTCCCCGCTCACTTTCAAGCTCAGATGCTTCCCCCACTGCCCACCCACCAACCCCCATCCCACCCTCGCACACCCACACTTTACACTGACGTTGGCTTGCTCACTAGAGTACAAGTTACAATCGGTCCACAACAACGACAACAACTTGCAGTTACACAGTGCCCATCACACAGGGTAGCATCGCAGAGTGCTTGATAGTGGTGGAGTATCCCCCTGAGCCAGGGGGGTGGGGGTGCGAGGGAAGGGCCGGAGGCTTGGTCGAATAGGAAGGCCTTCAGTCACGAACTGAAGGTGTTGAAGGAAGTCCACAGTGTATATTCCTTTCTCTTATATTAAACACATGATAGTACAGTCACCGGACTTGATCCAAATTCCCTGTGAAGTTCTTTGACACATTCTGAAGTTGCGGGCACTGCATTCAATACAAAGATTATTTTACTCCGGGGAGGGGAGGGGAGAGATAATGGAAGATTTACGGTAAAATCACCTCCTCCTAACTTCAATACTCCTCATTCCCCCTCCCTTATTAGCTTGCTCCTCTCCAGACCGCTCACCTTGCCCAACCCAGAGACCTGACGCCGTATCCTGCCCTTACTGTGCTCCAACCAACCACCAGGAGGCGCTTGAGAACTGCGAGAGATCATTGCTGGGTCAGAGGGGATTGCGTCTCTCTCGCTCTCTCAGTCTCTGTCTCACCGAGGGACAAAGTATCCCATTGTGCTGTCTTGTCTTGTTTGCCTCCTCGTCGGACAGTGCGGTGTCTTCAGCCGGCCAGAGATGGGAGCTTCTACACACGTGAGAACACAAATGGGAAGGAACAATGGAGGAAGGAAAGCAGCAGATCAGGTCAAGGCAAGACCGAACAGGACAGCAAGAGTCTCTGGGTTATTTTTACTCTGGGCGCTCTGGGACACTACCCCGCCTGAGGGACGCTGCGGGTTGTTGTTGCTATTCCTCAGACATCCCTGAAGCTATTCAAATAAATCAACCTGAGATTTCCTGGCCTCAGTTACCTCAGGTCACCTCTGGTCCAAAGCGCGCCTGGAGGAGGCTTTTATAGTAATAATAATCCTCGCATTTGATACAGCGCCTTATCACGTCTTCGAGACGTCTCAAAGCGCTTCACAGAATGGACTGTAAAGTGGATTTTTGTGGGAGAAACTTTCTATTTTTATCAAAAAATAATTTTTATTTTATTTTTATTTATTTTGAAGGAATTATTTCCCCTGGGAAAAGCGATCCACCAATCGACAAACAACCTACTAGGTAAACCGGGTTCCTACGAGGTGTGGAGTAAGGAAACTTGCCCAAGGTTTCGCCCTGCCCGAGAATCTAACCCCAGGTCTTCTCGCTTGCGAGACGAGTGCTCTAACCACTGAGCTACGGGACTTTTTTGCACTTCGCTCTCTGTGTCAACCCTGACAATCCACAAGTCAAGGTACACTGTGTGTCAGAACAATGGAGGGTCTCTCTGGACTATTCCAGGGTGGGTGTATACCGGCACCTAAAGGGATTCTTAATAAGCAAACCCGCTCCCCGCTCACACAGGTGGCTTTCACAGCCGGGTTGGCGAAATGCTATTCCCATTACTGGAAGGAGTTCCCATTGGGGAATACCATCAGGATTCTGCTTGTATCTCACACCCTTCGTTGCCACTTCCCTCTGAAATATTCCGGTGGTGTGATGGGGGGTGGGGGAAAGGAGCGCTACACTGTTGAAGGCGCCATCGTTCGGATGATACATTAAATTGAGGTCCCACCTGTGCCGGTGGACGCGAAAGATCCCACTGTCGAAATGGAGGAGGGAGTTTCTCTCTCTCTGTCTCTTTCTCTCTCTCTCGCCGTGTCCAGGCTGACAATTCCCTCCCAGATTAAATTAACCGTTCGCATCGTGGCTGTTTATGGATCCGTGCTGCTGAGTTTGCCCTGGAAATACACAGTCACCACACTAGGCTGCGATTCCCTGAGCCGTGCTTGGAAACGTCGTGACGGTTTTAGACACTGGACCTAAATCACAGTGACTATGATTTCCACACAAACCATTGCCCATCCCTGCTCTCTGGGTTGGAGATTGAATGAGAAATCCTGGCTAGTCTTAGCCCATGGACCGACATTCACTGCCTTTAGCTCGCTACAGAGTGTTCACAAAGTCCTGTTACCCACCACCCCCCCACTCCCGCAAACCCCTCTATTTTTCTTACAACAAATTTTTATTTTCTGTTGGTTGAGTCGAGTGTAACAATGTCTGATGCCAGTAACTTCCTCCTCACTGACTCCATCCATGCTACAGAAGATTCAACGCCGAACATGGCAACAGATCATTATCTGCCGTGAATGAAGGCGCTCACACTCACTCACACAGACACACACACACACACACACAAACACACACACTCGCACTCACACAGACACACACACACACACTCACACACATACTCACACACACCCACGCACACATTCACATTCATTCACTCGCACACACATTCACTCAGACACATTCACACACAGACACACACACACATATACTCACACATACTCACACACGCATTCACACACACTCACTCACTCACTCACACATGCACTCACATACATTCACACACACGCTCAAACACTCACATTGACACACACACACAAACCTCTGGATCCTCTGGACGTCTCAATACAGTTAAACACTTGTACTCAATGTAATGAAGTACCTCTGAATACAATGATCATCATTCTTGCACATGTTTGAGTTGATGGTCAGTGCACTTCAGAAAAGGCGGTAGGTGGGGAGAGGGGGGGCGGGTTGGGGAGTAACAGGACTTTGTGAACACCCTGTACAATCCCTATCCATTTCCCATGGGGGATACACAACACAGATAAGAGTCTCTGGTCCCAGCAGGTCAGACCTGGGGAGTTCAAAGGGTTTTTTCCCTTGGCAGACGGTAAGCTGACACCTTGGTGTGTTTGCCAGTGGAATCCTTGGATAATAACCATCACCTTTTCATCTTGCACTTTTTAGCTTCTCTTTGATCTTGAAAGAGATTTCAGAATCAGCTTTTAAAGCTTCTGCTTCGTTCCTCCCCGCGTCAATCGCTGCAGTAACGCTGGGCGGCCCCCAGCCCCCGGACGCAGGCTGTGGACCTCTCTTCTCACCCTCCCCCCACCCCAACCCCCCACCACCCACCCGCCTACCCCCAACCCAGCGCAGACAACATTAACAACAAGTTTTCACGTCGAGAGGATGTCCCAAGGTCCTGGACGGTCAGGGATTTGCACCCGAGCTGAGGGTTGGGCTCAGAAGCTGCGGAGGGCAGGGTTAGGAGGGTGACCGAAGGCGAGATCCAAGAGGAGGGTCTTGAAGGAGGCAAAGAATCTACGACTGTTTGTGGACACTGCTGTGCGCAATTGGCTGCTGTGTTTCGCCCACAAATATACGGTCAATTCACTTTACAGTACATTCTGTGAAGCGCTTTGAGACGTCGGGAAGACGAGAAAAGCGCTACATCAAATGCAAGAATTATTATAAAGGAGGGGGTGAGGCAGAGGGGCTCCGGGATGGAAGTCCAGAGGGTCCCGGGGACTGAAAGGCTGAAGGCCTGACTGCTTTTGGAGAGCAGTGGGTGAAGGTGCAGCCACTGATGGTGGAACAGAGAGCACGAGGGATGAGTAGGAGGTTGTGGCCAGTCAAAGAGGCGACTAGTAGTGGGTTGGGGAGTAAGGAGGTTGGGGAGATAGGGAGCTGCCAAAGCATGAAAGGATTTGAAGACGAGTGTTCGACCAGTGAATGTTCGCTACCCCCTTCCTCTCTCCCCTCACCACCAATCACCCCACCTGTCCCCCCCCCCCCCCCCCCACAATATTGCCCAGGCTTTCCCTATATCCTCTGCAAGTGGGCAGATGAAAAGGATGATTCATTCGTTCGCCATTCACAGACTGAGGCAGAACAAGCTCTCTCTGTTGAAGTGAAGTGCTTGTGGGTTTATTTTTGTTTTGTGTGCGGGGATTTGGACAAAGAAGTGGGATTTGAGCGAGAGAAAGCGTTGCGATTATTCCAACGCAAGTCGTTAATACCAAGCAGGACTTGGGCAGCTTTCCAAAGACCCTTTCAGTGTCTCGCTCCTACCCCAAATCTTCCGCTCATACCCCCAAGAATCTCACCTCCTCAAATCTTTGCCCCCACCCCTGCCTCCCCCCCAACCCCCCCACCTTCGCCCCCGCCCACCCTACCGTTGACTGCCGTTGCACCCCAGCACCTCGTCGCATCTGGGGAGGTCTCGCAGAGAGTCCCCGCATTTCATGCAACCAAAAAAAATCTGCAAGCAGAACTGCATCCGACAACAACACAGGAGCAGTGGGGAGGCTACTGTATGTGTGTGTGTGTGTGTGTGTGGAGTGAAGGGGTGGTGGGGGTGGGGGGGGGCGGCAAGGAAAGGCAGAAGGAAAGGCACAGCTGGAGTGCTATTGAAGAGAATCACTGAGATGAAAGCACGTCAGGAACCAGGCTGGACAATGGCACCATTTAGAAAGGGAGAGAGAGAAAAATCCAACATCAGGAGGTAAATGCGACAGCGATTGATTTCATCTCCTTGTTAAATCCAGTTACCGCCTTTTCCTCTCTTTCCCCTTCACAACAGCAACAACTTGCCTTTACACCGTGCCCATCCCCCCACCACCCCCTTCCCCCTTATACGGGGTAATGCCCGGAGCGCTTGTAGAAGGAAAAAAAACCACACGCACATCCAAATTTACTAATTATTAAACGCATTCACTAATTATTAAAAATTCTGCTAATGTCTGACGATGCAGGAGGGGGTGGGTGGGAGGGGGGTGGAGGTGGGGGGGGGCTGGTGGGGGGAGACGACGACGACAGCAGTGATAACTGTTCTCAATCGCGATCAAAGATACCGATGGCAAGTCGGTGGGCAACTGTGAGTGTCGGGCTGGGTGCCCGCAACAACACCCACACTGAGCCAAGTCTCAGCTTCTGTCAGTGGCAGAGTGGCAGGGGTGGGCAGGAGAGGATAGTTTTTTTTGGGGGTGTCTGACACACGTGGAAACCCATCACTGTGTCCAAAACAAGCTGATAATTCCATGCCTCCCACCCACACCTGGAAATCCAAGATATTGTTGGAATGGAATGCGCTCTCTCTCTCTCTCTCTCTCCGTGGAGGGGGTATCCTGCTTACCTAATTCTGGAAAATATTAGGCGCAGGTTGGCAAGAGCCAACGCTTGGGGGGAACCCCAGTGTGTGCGTTGGGGGTAACTGCTGGAGTCTAACCAGCCAAAAGCACACAGCTCAATGGAGAGCACGGTTTGGCAAGCTTTTACTGCTTGTCCAACTAGGACCACCCTACCTGTTAGGGCTTGGTTTGCAGGTTAACAGGAGCTGAGTGGGATGACTCCCTGATCCTATTGATCGGTCTGCCTTTCCAGCACCTGCCGATGAGCCAGGCTGGGCTGTTGTCAGCAGTGCCCTGGAATACTACTGGAACCGTATACTTGTGGAGTCCTGTGGCTCAGTGTCATAAGCGAGAGACCTGGGTTCGATTCCCGGGCTTTGCGAAACATTGGACAAGTTTCCTTGCTCCACACGCCTCTGTTTACCTAGCAGTAAGTAGGAAACCAGTTGTTATTTGAGTGGTGGATCGCTTTTCCGGGGATAATATAAAAAAAATCTGGTCACTCAATCCACGACTGTTTGTGGGACGCTGCTGTGTGTAATCGGCTGCCGCGTTCCTCCCACAAAATACACAGTCAATTCACTTTACAGTGTATCCTGTGAAGCGCTTTGAGACGTCTCAAAGACGTGATTAAGGCGCTGTATCAAATGCAAGGATTATTATTGTATATAATCTACTTTAATAATTGTGTTTAAAAAAACAACTTCAAGGCTTTGCAAACAACATTTAACCACACCAATACCAATGTTTATAAAAAGATTTTATTTGAAAAAAAAACTAAACCTAGTCAAAGATTTCCGGGGATGGGGTGTGTGAATGGGGGGGGGGGGGGGCGGGTGGAGGGTGGGTAGGGAGAGGAAAGAGAGAGCAATGAACGTTTAAGGAACAGAAAACAAATTATATTTTTCCCCCTTTAACGTACAATGATTTCAAATCTCTGGCGAGCAACGCTGGAGGTGGGGGTCATCTCCCGAGGGTGGGGTGATGGCAGAAGCAAGAGAGAGAGAGAGAAGACACACATAGACCCACACAGGATTTTATTGACGACTTTGGGGGCTTTCAAACCCACTTGTACGCTTTCAGTGTGATCAGATCTCTCAAACCCTTTTGGCGTGACCCCCGCCCCCACCCCCCCTCCAAAAGTTAAGATAAATTCCCCCCCATCAAGAAATTGATGCCTTGAAAAAAAATTCAATAGTGGTCGTGATTATGGGGCAAATTTCACACCACTTGTAAGGAGATTAGTATTAAACTCCACAAGTCCCTAGTTTACCTTTGAAGTGTTTCACCACATCAATAGCCATAGGATTTGTAAACTCCACCCCCCCAACCCACCTCCCCGCCCGCTCTTAACGCAGGGACTTGGGTGTTTAGGGTGGGGGAAAGGGTCGGGGGACAGACGCGTATAAAAGCTTAAGAGATCTGAAAGGCACTTTACATGAAGTTACAATTTCAGAAACGGACTGGACTGTGCATCATTCGGGGTCTCGGGTCTTATAAGCAATAAAAAGGCAGAGAGACAGACACAGAGAGAGAGAGAGAGAGGGAGGGAGGGAAGGAGAGTGGGGGGGGAGGGTTTTGTGGGGAAGAAATAAAACAATACGCCACCACTTTACAAAGCCCACTCCTTGCATTTTAATTCTACAGATTAGGAGCAGATTACAAAAAAAAAGATTCGGTGAAAGGGATTGAGCGGGATGCGGGGGTTTGGGGGGTGCGGGGGTGGGGTGGGGTGGGGGGTACTGGAGAGCGGGGCGGGGGTGGGGGGCGTGGGCCGGGGTGAGTGGAGGAGGCTGTATAGATTGTGTCGCAGCTCAGCTCAGCTCAAAACAAAGGTGGGTTATACCAGGACGCTGCCGGGACCCTCTTCAGTTACTCTTCTTCATTTTCTTCCCTGTTTGAAAGCAAGAGAGAGAGAGAGAGAGAGAGAGAGCAGAGAGAGAAGACAAGGAACAAAGTTTGTATGCGTTGAAAGCAAAGAGCTTTCCCACCCAATCTCCCTACCCCTCCACCAACCCCCTTCTGTGCTTCCTTCTGGGTCATAAGAATTTGCTGCGCGAAAGAAGATGAAAATCCATCCAGTTCGCCTTCCACTATCCTGGCAGTCGCTTGACATGTCATGTCCCGAACGATTATTTCCTAACAGAAATCTATCTAATTTGTTCTTAAAGGGTCAGGATGAGATAGATAGGATTGCGTAGGAGCAGGCAACCCCGGGCTCTCTGTGTGATGTCCTCCTGGCTTCCTTATTACAGTGTCCCACCGGAAAGCACTGTGTAATTAGACTCCACAGTGAGAGTAAACCACAGAGAAAGGGAGAGACACTCACGCAGAGAGACACATAGAGAGAGAGAGAGAGAGAACGAGAGCGGAGAGAGGCACAGAGAGACGCATCGAGAGACAGAGAGACGAGAGAGAGACTCACACAGAGGAACAGAGAGAGAGAGACGAGAGAGAGACTCACACAGAGAAACAGAGAGAGAGATGAGAGAGAGACTCACACAGAGAAACAGAGCGAGAGAGACGAGAGAGAGACTCACACAGAGAAACAGAGAGAGAGAGACGAGAGAGACTCACACAGAGAAACAGAGGGACGAGAGAGAGACACACAGCGAAACAGAGAAAGAGAGAGCACGCATCTTGTCACATGAAGGAGCGTCAAAAAGTGTTTAACGGTTTATCTGCCAATTTCTCCAACCCCCTCCACCCCCATAAAGAAGCTGAGGGGCAGCTAACCAATACGCTGGTGGGGGGTTGGGGGGGGGGGGGGTTGATGAGGACACTGACCTTTGCCCTTGGTCTTGGTCTTCTCACACTGCTTGGTGACCTTGACGGTTTGCTCACACTCCGCATTGAACAGCGCCTTCTTCAGGGCCCCGTTGCGAGTTTTCATCCCAGTGGCCACATCGCACTCCCCCCAGCTCCCAAACTTGTACTTGCAGTCGCCTGGGCGGGTTGCACACCGTCAGAACCCCGTCAGCAACCCACAACCCAACACCAACCCCAACACAACCCCCCCCGCACACACACACACACACCCATACACACACCCACCCACACACATACATACCCAAACACACACCCATACCCACACACGCACACCCACACACACACCTACCCACACACACACACCCACACACACACATACCCACACACACCCACACTATACACACACCCACACCCACCCATACACACACCTACCCAAACACACTCCCCCACACACACACACCCACACACTATATACACTCACACCCACACACACCCACTCCCCACCCACTCATGCACCCACCCACCCATTCACCCACACACCCAGCAAACACCCACACACACCCACCCCCACACACACACTCTCTCACACACTCTCTCCCATCCAAAAGTCATGTACAGGTTTGAAATACCGAATCAACCAACAACAGCAACGAGTTGCATTCACACAGAGCCTTCCACCTCGGGAGGACATCCCAAAACATTGGACAATGAGGGGTTTGCACCCCAAGCTGTGGGCTGGTATCAAAGAGTTGGTGTAGGGGGAAGATGACTGAAGACACGGTAGAAAAGGAAGGTGTTGAGATGGGCCTTGAAAAAGGCAAGGGTATGGGTGAGGCTGAAGGGCTCCTGGATGGAGTTCCAGGGGGTGGGGGGTAGGTGGGAGTGGGGGGGTGGGGGTTGTGCAGAAAAGCTGAAGGACCAACTGGCAACAGCGGAGCAGGCGGGCAGGGCGGTGGGCAGGGAGCTGGTGATTAAGGAGCCTTCTCTTAGTGATTAAGGTGTAGTAACTGGTTGTATCAACAACAACAACAGCTTGGATTTATATAGCGCCTTCCACGCCGGACGGCGTCTCAGAGCGCTCACATCACAATCGCGTCCGTTTGTGTCCCGGGGGGAGGAGGAGGGGACAAGGCGTCCTAGGGTGCTGAACAACCACAACCAACCAACCAACCCAAGTAACTTAGTACGCCCTTCACATGGGGCGGTGTCTCAGTTCGCCACAGGACCACCGTGAGGTTCACTTGAACACAAGGAAAAGGGCAAGACCTTTCTCACCTCCGAACTGCTTCTTCCAGTTACAGGGCACCTTGCACTTGACCCTCTTGGTCTCCTCCTTCTCCTTGCAGGTGCCCTCGCGGTTACCCACCCCGCAATCCTCAGAGTTGGGCTTGCACGCCCCCCACTGCCACTCTTTACACCCCAAGTTGGACTTCTTCCCTTTCTCTGAAAATGAGAGGCAAGAAAATAGTAACTAGAAGTGTTGGCGGAGCTTGTGTGTGTGTGTGTGTGTGTGTGTGTGTGTGGGTGGGGAGCGCATAAGGAAACCGAAGGGAAGACACGGGATGGAGTCCCGGATCGATTCACAGTGGCGGAGTCTTGACAATGAGGCAGGGGGAGAGCGAGGGGATAGACGACTATAAGCACCAGCAAAACAGAAGGTCTTCAGGTGGGACCTGAAGGTGCAGAGGGAGGGGGCAAGGCGGAGGGTTTACTCAAGCACTCCAGAGCTTTGCCGTCTAACCCAGCGAGGGTGGGGGAGTAGCAGGCAGTGGGGATCTCTACCCCAACACTCACACTGGGTGGTTAGAGCAACTCAAAAGGAAACGATGCATTGGATTACAGGTTCCCCCCTTTGGCTGACACATTCTGCTCTGATCAACGGTTTACATCATTAATACACGTGGGGAAAATCACCAAACCCCGAGGTACCAACGGATTGGACGGACACTGACACAACACAGACAGACAGACAGGCAGACAGACGGGCGGGCGGGCAGACAGGCTGGTAGCAATGGCTTTAAGCCACCCAAGTCACAGTCACGCAGATCTCTTGATGATGATAACAATAATCCTTGCATTTGAGATAGCGCCTTATTACATCGTTGAGACGTCTCAAAGCGCTTCACAGGATACACTGTGAAATGTAGTGATTGTATTTTGTGGGCGAAAGGCGGCAGCCAATTGCGCCCAACGGAGTCCCACAAACAGCAGTGGACTGAGTGACCAGATTCTTATTAAATTTTTTGGAAGGCATTATTATCCCCAGAAAGTGATCCGCCGGGTCTCGAGTGGGTAGATCAAGGATTCAGTGACGGGAGCCGCTCGCTCGGCGAAGTCTCACACAACGCACCTTTCTTTCTGGCCTGGGATTCTACTGCCATCAGGACCACCAACAGCACGAGCGAGGACAGGAGACGTAGCTTCATTCTGTGAGGAGGATGAGGAGGAGAATAAACATGGGAAGGTTAGAGCAAGCGATCAGTCAAACGGGGCCGTTCGGTAGCACCAGCACAGCTCAACTGGGCAATTATACTCCATACGATCCTTCCTATTCCCCACCTCCCTAGCCTCCCCATCCCACAGCCCTCTATTTCCTTCTCTCTCAGTCACGTAGGCATAAAGCTTCCTTTTAACCCTCACACGTACACTGATACGCCACTAGGTCTCATCCTCTCTCTTGCCTCCTTCGAGGTCCGTCTCAAAGACCTTCTTTCTCGATCGTGCCTTTGGTCATCTTCCCACTACCACACCTTCCCCCGCCCGCCACCCACGCAGCTCAGGTTCAGAACCTTGATTGTCCAGCGCCTTGGGACGTCCTCCCGACGTGAAAGGCGCTGCGTAAATGTAATTTGTTGTTGCTACCTCGTCCTCCAGCAGCAATTCCCCCATTCTCACCATCCCCTGCGTGGAGAAGTTCCTCCAAAACTCTTTTTTCAGGTCTTTTAGTGACTATGTTCCCCCGGTGCCCCTCGTTATAGACTCGCCAACAAGTTGAAACGGTCGATTTACATGCATCCAATGCAAGGATTATTATTATTATTTACAAGGATTATTACTATAAAAGCCTTGTCCACCGTACTCTCGACACAAGAGACATGAGAGAGAAGGGGGACGTTTTGCTCAGATTCCACGGTAATTGTATCACGCAGACGTGAAGAGTGTTTATTAGGTTATTCTTACTGACAGAAGTTATCAAGTGTTCAATTATACTGCCAACACATTCCCCCACCACAGTTTGTTAATGGCGAACAAAGTCATATTGTCCACCAAGGCTCCAGGTGCAACATCGCTTGGCACCAGTCAGCGAAAGCTTTCCACATCTTAAAAAGGAAACGACTTGCCCATCGCTATACTTTCCCTTTTTCCCTGAAGCTTTGAGAAATTACCAGCTGAGCCCCATTGACCGGGATTGAGAGGTTAAAGGGACTCCCTGTATACGTGGGAACGTCACCCACCACGAGAGGACCGACCCGAGCACTCGGAGCTCAGAGGCTCTTTTAAGTCCCAAGACGGCCTTTTCTGTGAACCTCAGTGACTTACTGCTCACCGACCATCACCGCAACCCACTATCTGTATCTACACAGCGCCCCTCACGCAGGGTAGCTTCCCAGAGCGCTTGACAGTGGCGGAGCCCGATGCTAAGCTGGGGGAAGGAGAGGGCGAGTTGGTGGGTCAAAGAGGAATGACTTCAGGCATGATCTGAAGATGGAGGAAGGAAGGGGCGAGGCGGAGGGATAGAGGGGGAGTTTTCCAGGGTTTCCGGGCACCAAGCGGCGCTTCACTTGGATTTGGACAGGAGGGTTTTACCGCCCAAGGTTAGAGATTCTCCAACTTTGGCTGCGGGAAGCCTGACCTACCCTCCTGGAAACACAGCTAAGCTGGAGCCAGGCAAGGAATGGGGCGATGGGTGGTGGTTGGTGGGGGGGGGTTGCAGAGTTTGCTGCAGGCGAGGATATGGGTGGCAGAGTTTTAGCCGAGCCGAGGTTTGTAAAAATGATGGGACCAGGGAGCAGAAACTACAGCCTCAACTGAACTGTTTCCGAATCCGTCCTTTGGCTGAACCGTGAACCCCGCCTGACGAGAGCCAGCCTGGCTTTGGCCTGGCCTGTTCCTGGTGAATGCTCCTCTCACTTGGCTTCTCAGCCTTCCTGGCGGAGAACGAGACTGCAATATTGGCAGAAACGTTAAAAACCAAGTGCGTGCGAAATGTTATCATTGAATGCAGCTGCTAACGAGAGAGAGAGAGAAAAAATAACACACACAAACACACACAGAGCCTTTGCCACCAACATCGCTATCGAAAAGCCATCACTATACCCGAGGGAGACATGACATTTTTGAGCAACACAGATACCCTTGTTTTTCATCTATTTGTCTGCACAATCTATAATCTGCAAGGTTTAGTTTTTCTGCAGTGAAACAGACCAGATTATTCCAGTCAGCTCCTAATTCTCTTACGGCATTGCCTGGATATAGTCACTGATGTGTACGGTATAAGGATTTCAGAAGGCACACGCCAACAAGTTGAAAGCGGGCACACACCAACCCTCCCACCCACACACCAACCCCCTTCCCACCCACACACCACCCCCCTCCCTCTCACCCACACACCAATCCCCCCCATCCCACCCACACACCAATCCCCCCATCCCACCCACACACCAATCCCCCCCTCCCACCCACACACCAATCCCCCGCTCCCACCCACACACCAACCCCCCCATCTCACCCACACACCAATCCCCCCCTCCCACCCACACACCAATCCCCCCCAACCCACACACCAACCCCCCCTCCAATCCACACACCAACACCCCCTCCCAACCACACACACCACCCCTCCCTCCCACCCACACACCACACCCCCATCCACACACCACCCCCCCCCCCCACCCCCACCCACACACCAACCCTCCTTCCCACCCACACACCAAACCCCCCTCCCACCCACACACCAACCCTCCTACACGCACACTAATACCCCGGCAAACACACACACAAATCCCCTCTCCGCACCCCTTCCCATGCTCTGCACTGTACCCCATTCCACCAAAAGAGCTTTTATTTTATTTAAAAAATGACATTTTTACCAGGTAGCCATTGTGTGTGCGGGGGCAGGGGGGGGGGGAGGGGTTGCGGGGAGGACAGTGGGAGACCATTATAGTGATAGCCCCCGGCAGGTCAAATCCTCAGCTAAAGCCAGCTGGCAGAGGTTTTCAAAGAACGCTGAATGGAATTAAAAACATTAAAAAAAGAGGATTTACTGTCTCGTTCTTCAGGCTTATGAACCAAACATAAAAGGGCTTTAACTTCTCATCAGTCTTCGTCTCTCCCCCTCTCTCTCTTTCTCCCCCCCTCCTCTCTGCCCATCAGAGCAAGGCCCAGCTTGTCTTAGAGAGGTGATGATTTGCAAAAATCAGGGTTTGCTTTTATTCCCGAGAAACCATCTAAAAGCAATCTACTTCTCTATCCAACTCTAACCAACTAACCCCCCAATAAAGTTGGTCATGGCTGTTTTATTGTGCACAAATTAGCTGCTGTGTTCACCCGTAAAAACACGCATAAAATACACAGGAGTTGCACAAAATGAAACAATTATTATTCTTAACAACATCCCACACCCCAATTGCATTGACTAAGTGATCAAGATTCTTTCCTGGTGCCTTGGCCATTGAGACACATCCCTGCTGTGTGTGTGCGCGTACGTACGGGCAGTCACTACACTCGACAGCAATTGTGAGCGAAGCAGATTTAATGCTTCCAGGGTTTTGAATAAGAATAATAATCCTTGCAGCCGTGACTGTGTATTTTGTAGGCAAACGCAAAGCAGCCATTTGCGCCCAGCGATGTCCTGCAAACAGCCCCAAAATGAATGGCGGCGAGTTATTTCGGAGGCAAAGATTATCAGTCTCGACTCCCAACGACACACTCAGCACCTTACAAACTGCCACCGGTTAAGAGTTAGCCAGACTTCACAACTCTTACAAACTTTGTTCGGAGGGTGGGAAAGGAAGAAAGACAAGAAAGTGTGTGTGTGGGGGGGGAGGAGGGGGGGTGGTGGTGGGTGAGAGGGGAAAGCAACTCGCCAGCCAGCAAGACTCGACCCATTCCTTCTCCCTCCCAACCGGTAATTTCTCGAGCCGTTAGCTCCTTTGTGCCTCTCCTCCTGCCCTACTGAGTGACCTCCCCGGGAACACAGAGGGGTTTATTCTCACTCCGCACTATTCCCTCGCTCCGGGGGCTCACGAGGCTGGCAGGATGACACGACAGCGAGCCGGGAAGCGGCCTTAGTTGACAGCAACGCCCGAGTCAATAGATTTGCCCCGTGAGCCTTTGTAAGGTTGACGCACAGCCCACAAAGAGGGTGGTTTTGCGGAGAGAGAGAGAGCGAAAGAGAGAGAGAGAGAGAGAGTGAGAGAAAGAGAAAGAGAGAGAGAGAGAGAGAGAAAGACCCACTCAAAAATAAGTTTGACCACTCCAGCCTTTGTTGAGGCAACGGCGGAGAGGAAAGAGAAAGGGACCCAAGACTGTCTCGCTGCAGTATATCAGTGAAGAGCAGACAAAAGGAGCTCTGAATGGAACAAGTGGGTGCCTGCGTGCGGACATCAATCACAGGGCATTGGGGATACGAGGCAGCGAGGGGCAGAGATCCCAGTGAATGACTGACCCACTCACTCACCCAGAAACTTGGCTCGTCGGCAAGGGAATGTTACAGTGGAGGCGCCGATGGGGAGGGGAAAACGTGATCAGTTTCATTGATCCCTGCTGCGAGGAGTTCAGAATAATTAATCCAATTACTGTACGTTCCACAGATAGCGCTGCTCGAAGAGATCAAAAGCGAAGGTTTTTTTTCTCTCTCTCTCTCAGAAAAGGAATTTACATCAATGACCTCCAAGCTCGCACAAGAAACATGGGAACGATCAGGAGGAGGCCATTCAGCCCACCCGAGCCTGTTCCATTCGCTCGTTTGATCATTTTTGAAAGGGAATTGGATATTTATAAGGCTACCTGCACGGCTATGGGGAAAGAGCGGGGCAGTGGGACTAGTTGGTTGCTCTTTCAAAGAGCCGGCACAGGCACAACGGGCCGAATGGCCTCTTTTTTGTGCTGTAGGAATCTATGATTCTACAAAAATGAGGTCTCTATACTGGTCTCACTCAAGAGGTTTCTGGGGTCGAACACTTTCACTACTGCCTTCACATTACAAGCAGAATCTAATGCACTCTGCGGTTCAGTCGGTAGTATATTGGCCTTGGGAGTCAGAAGGTTGTGGGTTCAAGCCCTACATCTTAGGGTTTGCATTGAACTCACAGCCTGCAGTGACACTCCAACATGGTACTGGGGGTGGGGCGGGTACGGTTGAAGTGCCGACATTCAGGTGAGAAGCTAAATCTGAGGTCATGTGTCCTGTTGCCTGTCCAGGAGAA